TTCAGTCGATTAATCCTGTATTTAAAACCACCTGTAGCCTCTCCGTGTCGCTGACTTCATGGTAACTTCGATTAAAGTTTCCCGAGGCCAGTACAATTCTCATTCAGGTTGTTAATTCATTAACAAGTGTTTAGCATTCACAGTCATTTACAGTCAAATGCCTCCCTCTAGTGCTCATGAAGAAAGCTAGTCTCTGTATTCATGTGAGATTAGATGCATATCAAATCAAATGAATATTGACCCCAATTCTGAAACACATTTAACCTTTCAATATTTTACTACAGCAAATAACAGATACATGAAAAATGAAAGGATTTATAATATCTTTGTAGGAATATATATCAAATTTCATACAGGTTAATTTAATTGGCTCCAGTCTTTTTGATGTATGGATAACGTCTCTTTGATTGATATTCACATTGCAGAGTAAAGCCAGCGCTGTAGACACAATGTTGGATAATAATCAGAGGAAGAAGAATTAGCAAGATCCTTTACTTAAGTAAAAGTACCAATATCATAATGTAAAAATACTCCAACTAGAGTAGAAGTAAAGATATATTTCTGCAAAACATACTTAAAAGTATTTAGTTCTGCATTAAAATGTTATGATATATTATATATCACATTATTAGATTTAAAATACTGATGCATCAATCAAGCAGTATTTTACAGATGGTGTAGTTGAGGTGTAACTTATTATATACAGTAACAGGCTTTGTCAAATGTTAAGAGTTACTGGTGGCTGTTATGATTCCTCCTGTCTATGCTGACTCTATAACACTTTCTTAATCTGACTCAGCTGTAAGAGAATGATGACAAAATTCTAAAGTTCATTAGAAACAGTTATGAGACTATCATTTTATTTTATGAGACAGTCTGACTTAGACAAGCCACAAAACATCGTAAGTAGTTTTAGAAGTTAGTCTTTGTGTGTTTACTTGCTGAGCTGCAGCAGTGGGATACTTCCTTCCAACAGTAAACCTACACAATGACATAACAACAATATCCAAATCTTTTTTTTTTTACTAGACTGCTTAACCCTTATTTAGCTTCAACTAAACTTAGCCTCCGAAAATCCTGTGTCCTCATATGGGAAATTTAGGATTTGAGATCCAAGCACCATATAATTCATTCTGCTCAACTTAGACCTATTGTCCTCATTAGTGGGCACATGTCTGTGCCCTCTAGGGTCACTTGCCAGCCATGTTCTGATGTCTGTTTCTTTTTTGTTACACATTGGGTACACATACTCATTTTTTTCTAAATGTATGCCCTGTTCAAAGACAATGCTACTACTATAAATACACACAGAATCAAAGCCCAGGTCTTGGGAGGTTTGGGAAACATTTTTTCATGAAAGGAGAAGAGTGGATTTGTCCCTAATTTCTAACAATCTGGCCATGCCTAGGAAGGGGATGCTAAAAGCCAACAGTAAGCTTTTCACTTTACACATCTTAGTTTAGCAATGTTTTCAGATACTACTAAAAGACAAGTCAAAACAAACAGTGACTCCAGCAATGGGTGAGAAATAGAAGCTAACGAGAACCTTAAACATGACAATAGAAGAGATTCGGAAGCCAGTGCAGTAAGGCTGGACCCAAATATTCGACTATTCCTTCATTGGGTTAGTATTCAGTTTTCAATTTTGGGATGTGAAGATTCGCACAAGCACCTATAGTTCTGTCCCGCACAACGCTGCACACACACCGGCTTGCACAGCCCTTTTCAGTTTCTTTATTGCCATATCATACAGCGACAGACACATACAGGCTGCTATCTGTCCACTTTCAACTTTCATTGTCAGCCGTATGTTTTACTGCCCAAAAAACGCAGCTCGCGTTTTTAACTTTTTCACCCACGATTCTGTGGTAACAACCGCAGGTGAGCTGCTTGTGGAGAAGGCCTATAGTACATCTCTCTCTGTTTGTGTCTCTGCAATGGTCAGTAGACCGTATGGCGACCAATCATGGATGGAGTTGGTCTCTTGGACGGATAGAAAAATAAGTCATGCTCAGGACATAAAATCTGAGTGAAATTGAGGATTTTCTTTCTTGGGTTATGTGTTCAGGCTAGCCCAAGAATTTAAAAATAAGCCTGTAAATGGCTTTTAAAGTGATCATGACCGGAAAACTTACAAAAATGAATGCAAACGAGAAATGACAATTGAAAGTAGATGGCGCTATCCTCCTAGTCATCACAAGACAATATCATAATCAAATTTCACTATTATAGTACAGAGGTCCCAATCTGTATTGACTGACCATTATGTGATCAACATTGTTTCTATGGTAAAGGTAATCTTAAACTCACCTGAAGGTCATAAATCCTGAGGATCTCTGCAGGGCCTCTGCTCTCTTGGCCTTCTGCCTGTATAGGGCAATCAGTTGTGGCGTGTATCTCTCAAGCTCACAGTAGAATTGGTTGCATAGGTTCAACATTTGTAAAGAATACTTACCATACAAATATAATAATTACACAGTTCCAACTGATCTGACTTGAAATATATTATATTATTATATTTAACCTGTCAGTGAAACTAGCCTCTATACTGTTCTACATTATGAATGTTTTTACTTTTTGAGGAACCCTACATCTTATTACAAACACTGCGTTCAGAAACCGCTTGTGAACTTATATGAAGGCAGAGCTTGACTGTCTCCACAGTAAAGTTATAGGACTAAAGTAACGTTAACTAAGTTGCAAACTCAAATAAATCAGCCAGATTTGTTTCACTTCTTTATTTTATTTTTGACTGAAAGTTCCTAACCTGTCAACACGACCTCACACAGAACTGAATTTGATCTGAAACAAAAGCAGAATTTCTGACTGTATGAGACCTTAAATATCTCAACCAGGCTCTAACAAAATACTTCATTAAGCACAAAGTAATACCAAAGTGTTTCTGTTTGGACGGTTTCCTTCCAAACTGGGACCATCTCAGCAGTACTTCAGACAGAACAGTAATTGCTGGCTTTTAATACCAAATTAATATTCATTAAACTGTAGACATTTGTGTGGAAAATATAATCAAACACACGCCAAGAACCAACATAGAAGAACTGCTTATGTACGACCACTGTGTGTTATTGTACATTGAGAGTATAATCGTTAAAATTCACCCAGTCAGCCAGTTTCACCAGTAGATTATACAAATCATGAAGCTGAAGCACAAACAGGCCTCATTTATTTGACACATCAAATATAAACTCTTTAGCTTTAAACATGCCGTTGAGCACAGATGTTGTTTGTGGACCTGACTTGATTTAATCAGCTCTCATATTTGACAAACAAATGAAGCGATTTCATTAACACAACTGTATAATGTATTCCTGTTTGTTGACAGGCGTTCACACTTCCCGTCTCACCTTAACATCTCTGGTTCTTCCTGTGACAGACATAAATACTAGTGTGTACATACTTTGAGGCGGTTTTCAATGGGTTTAAATTAGTTAAACCATTTTACCTTTACTTGGTGTAAATGATCATAAGATAATTAGCTTCTGGTTAAAGTTGTGAAAAGGGCAGGCTGTGAAATAAGACATTATTTGAAGTTGCTGTGTAGTATCAGGGCCAAATGTAACAGCATTAAAGGAACATCATGTATTTTCCAGTGGCCACTAGCGGTGCGGTTTTTAGATTGCAACCAGTAATGAACGAGCAAATCCGCTCATGAGCTTCACACAACTAGAAACTCATGCAAACTCCCACTGCAACGTTACAGTAATATTTTTTATCAGCTTGAGGTTGAACAATTCATGCTGGTCACATGATAACGTTACATTTACTGCATTTAGCCGACGTGATACATCGCCATTAGCTCGCCTGCCTCTTATCAATAACTATTTGTGTATCTTTCACCGGAGGCTCAGCAATGTGAGCACAGCTGCATGTATTGGATAACAAAATGGTTGGTGAGCTAGACTGAATATTTTAACTGAAATTGTTGCCACACTTTATACCAGTGAGACCGCAGTAAGTAACATTACTGTAGTGAATGGGTCTTCCACTGTGGTGTTGTCCTGCACCGTTTTGTTGCATTACTGTATATTATGTCGGTCACGTTAGTTACAGCGACTGAGATGGTGAAGGAGCTTTGTAACTGAGTATCTAAACTGAACACTACGAAGCAAACAGCAGTAACTTAGATCCACGCTAAAGCAGCTGGCTGCCTCTACCTTGCATCACTATAGCAACACTTTGACCAAATACCGGTGGCACACAGGGTCATCCAAACATTGTTCAAACCCACAGTACTTTATTTTAAATTCTAGTGGAGATCCCAGCGTTTGCACAAACACCAAATACCATGTCAGGATACATTTTCCAACCTGAAAATTACTTTACCTGAAATAAAAGAGGAAAAATGCATATGAAGAGGAAAACCAGAACAAGGGTTTTTGTGTGTATATTGTGCGTATGTAGCCTAAAACATTCATTTAGTATTAACCAGATGCCAAGTTAGGTCTGCCCTAAATCAAACTCAATGGGCTAAACAGTGAAGGAAGGAGGAAATAAATGTTCAGAATAAAGGGAAAGAAAGGAGGACAGAAAGCAGGTAAGACAGAAATGGACACTGAGGATTCAGTGGAAGTTGGCAGTGTGAGCATGTAAAGGATAAATATCACAGCAAAAAAGGAACAAGGAGATACAGATACACAGTTCAGTAGAGCAGAAAGAGATGGGTAACCACCATGACGGGCAAACAGGAGAGACACTGTATCAATGTTTCTAACAAATGCTAAACTGCTTTTCAAGAGTTCAGAAAACAACTCTTAAGTTTAGGAGTTGTTGAGACTACAGGGTTTTGTTGAGTTTCATAAATCAGTTTGGAGTCCCACTTGTTTCCGCAGCTGCAAACAATCTCAAGCCAACACCAGTATGAAGAGTTAATACATTTTAAAAACAAATTCCCCTTTTAATTAATGTCCTGAGAAAAATGTTTCAGACTCAGTGAACACGTTTGGGTCACCCGAGAAGAGGTGGATTATTAATATACGTAATTGACAAATAGACAGGTTTTATTCCAAAATGACATATCAATTGACTAAATGCTTCCCAGAAACATTGACTTGATTCACACCTTCTTTTAAAATACAAGGCTAAATTTCCAGAATGAAACCCATTCATGTCATCAGGTTTATACTTAATTGTGTTTTGAAACAAAAAACAACCTCCAAAATGAGTAAGCGTAACTCATGCTCCCACTGTAAAAACAAGGCGAATTTCTAAAAAACAAAAACACATTCAAATAATTCTTAATTCAGTGATGTGGAAATATAATATATTAAGAATCTATTGGTGCATTCACACTTACCACAATATGTTTTTAAAGTGGACATTACACTTTTGTGACACATTGTTATGAAAACTTGGTCTATGAAATATCTGTGACAATTAATTAAACAAGCCCTTAGGGGTTTATTAAAGGAGTATTCTGTCAATTTTACACAAAGTTCAGGAGTCGGTGAACAGTTTTATGGCTTCTGTGGCTCTGGGGTAGATTTCCAAAGTCTGGTCAAATGCTACATTCATGTCAGATTGAAGTTATAATACGCATGTCATGTCCTGCTTGTAAATAATGTTCATGTTAACATCCAAGTGGTAATTACAACTGGGAAACTGGGACTAAAACCAAACTTGAAATGCCCAAAACCAAACATGGACAACTCACATCAGCAAAAGTCCATTGATATATTTAATCCTAAATTTAATGCATATGGTGTTATATTGTCAATACCATCTTGATTAGTTGGATGACGTGAGCACTCACAATCCGTTAACACTGTAATCTTTCCCCTCTTTACCATTGTTCCCACATGTTGTGAATGTGGCATAATGAATGTCACTGAGTTGCATTATTAAAGATGTAGGATCCAGCATTTTAGTGGGTTGACTCCATACTAGGGACTAAAAGTCAGAATATCCTGAGCCCTGCTGTATCAGTTTTGACTATTTAAAAAAAAAAAAAAACTACTACTGCTGTGTTTCATTTGACATAGGAAGTCTGAATTTCTGAGTTCGATGTCAGGAACGCCCCCTTCAGTTGGATTTCCGGCTCGGAAAGTTGGGAGAACCTCACCAACCCCGACCTCAAAATCCAAGATGGCTGCCCCCGGAATCAACACTAGCGAAAGATGTTTTAATTTACTGTTTATTGCACTTCTGTCTTATTTGTGTGTCATTAAATACAGTCCTGTCCAACTTATATCTGTAGACATGTTGCTCTGGTGTTTGTATGTGCAAAATGCCGCATGTGTTGTCAACTGGTTTTGCTAACAACGGCCAGAGGCATCAGTCTTGGTTTTCCGACTAAAATCTGTGTGACGTCATTCCCAGCTCTGACGCACCATTAATCACTGGGGTACCTCTTTAACATAATGCAAATATCAAGACCTTAATTTTCAGCAACTGAGTCAGAAAAACACGCATTAGCCTCCTGGTTGTAATTCCAAGTCGGTATTGCCAACACCAGCAGATGTATCTACATAAAATCCAATAGCACTAATACAATTAATTCAGTGAAGAGCTATACAGTTTATATGCATCTGGTTTCACTTGGTAACAAACCACTCCCACTACTATACCACTGTTAAAGTAGCTAATTAAGGCCATTTAGATGATGCGACTACAAGGCTAGCAGTCCATCTTGGAACAACGTATGAACATACCAAGTCGGAGTAAAGGGAGATTTTCCTGAATGCAACATCAGACATCATTTTTCCAGCTGTTGCATCAAACCCTGAAGTAGCTGTGATTATTTTATTTGGATGGTAACATTTCATTGGTGAAACAGTGAAGAGTACCAGTTTCTCTTTCTGACAGCAAAATGCAAACCAAGACAAACGAATTTAAGCCTCATCTTCCTGGTTTTTAAAGACGTGTGTTATAACAATAGTAGAACACTGCACAAAAAAAGAGATGAACAACTGCCTTATGATGACTTTATCAATCTTTTCTGTAAATCAATGGCAATAATACGATACACAATCACTAGGATGTGAGGGAAAAGATGCTGGCCTACACAAGTTATTGTCATTTATTACACCAGATTTACTGTTCTGATTCACGTAAAACTCACCTGCTAAAAGTAGACCGAAAAACATGAACCTTCTCACATTACGGCCAGATGTGCACCAACATTTCATTAACAGCATTCAGATGAAGCCGTCGCTAGCTACTGGAAATTTAAAAGCACATTTTTTGGTTGAATGACAAGGCAATATAGGAGGTCTTTACTCCAAACATCTGTCTGAAGCCAAAAATACAAATATTAAAGGATCCCTTTATCATGTCAGGATGTTCTGTAAACCTGGCGGGACTAAAACATAACGCAGATATAGTCCAAAGCATCTAAAGTGCAGAGGTTAAAACTGACGTTCATCGGACTGGCACAGCGCATTTAAAACACAGCATAGATGAACAAAAATACACTTAAAATATTTGACCAACCAAACGACTGGGCAGTTCATCCAGGCAGTGATCCCGTGTCTGCGTCAGTGTGTGTGTGTTTGTGTGTTCAGTCAGTTCCCTCGTGTCCTCTTTCAGACCTGATGGCAGCTGGTGTTGCCGAGTGTGTTGCATGTCTGAAATGAATGGCTACGATAAATAAAACGGGAACAAATTAAAGAGGGAGGTGGCGTGTGGAGTTGTTATTCTAAAATTTAAAACTGTTAAAAATCCACATGGAGACGCTGGGAACCATTCATACACGGCGATCCGTCTGTTGGGAGTGTGATCCAGAGAGGTCCGGTCTGTGACATAGGTCCGATGATACAGTGGTAAAACATTAAGAACAGACATGACGGTCGAGTCTCTGTTGGAGAGCTGAGACAGGTAGGTAGGCTGTGTGTGTGTAGGGGGGAAAGGAAAGAAGGGTACAGTTGAGTCAGCTGCTGCGTGTCCTCTTTGCTTGCGTTTTCTCCACCATTCGTCTAGAACAGCTGGATCATAGACTCCCGGGACTTGCCAACTCCGATCCACTTGACTGAGGAAACAGAGAGGCAGGGGTTTGTGTTAATTTCTCTTTATAGTCGAGGCTGTCCGTATCTGTTGCTACAGGTCTCAGGTCTGTCAGTACAGTTTACATGTACTCAGAGAAACCAGGATGCTCAGGTAATCAGAGAATGTTGTTTACATGCAGCAGGTCAGTAATCAAATTTCTCCTTTACCCAAACCTTATACTGAAAGCATGGCTTACTTGTTTTAACTGCAATAGTGATAGAAGACGCTTTTTGGTGTGTGTTGGTTCAGTGACGAGACATGCAGACTGCTTTGTGTGTACATTTTACAAATGTTTAGCGATGGAAACAACTTATAGAGGCTACTTTTCATTTCAGTTTTAGTTGGACTTGACCGCTCTGATCGCCTGCCATTCACCCGTCTTGTGCAGAGTTTTGCATGCATGCCGTACGGCCGACAACTGCAAGGATGTCGCGGTCTATTTCAAGTACTATTTAAAAATGATATAATAGTCTTTGTGTGGTTCATCAATGGTGATAAATCATCCGAATGTCCCGCAAGGTGCAGACAACCGGTGAGATCTGCCACAAAGGTCACACACACACACGGTACTTTTGGATTTACTCTTGCACTTTAAAAACATTTATTAAAACTTTTTTTCTTTTTACATGTTTACAAAATTATATATTTTAAATTAATAGTGTAATAGGCTGTATATTAACTTATTGGTAGAAAAGTGGCGTTGAGCAACCCCATATCGCCAAAATGGTATGATCCTTATTTTGCTGCAAAGCTTCGACTGTGAGATTGACAGTCGAATCAGCCCATCGAAGCATCGAATCTTCGATTATTCGGGGTCAGCCTTAATGATTTGTGTAATTTAAATGTAAGAAAACATGGAAATATTTTGTTAAACTATTAAAATTAATTAAGTAATATTTGATCAGTAACAACCTATTTGAATTTAAATTATACACATTACTGTCTGTAACAGCCTGTTTTAGGTAGTTTTCCTTGTGGTCCAGCAGAGGGCACCGTCCACTCTCAACTTATTGACGACACTGCTGACCTATCAGGGAACTAAGCTAATAAATAAAAAAAAGGAGGATGACACTAACAAAGTTGTGCAGGTCAGATAATCATGTGATCCTGATTCTGCAGGGTGGAAAAACCAAATGTTGTGAGTGGATGACAGTTGTATATTTGTGTATACAGCATCATCTGTGAATTGTTTTATACGGCAATTCTGACTGAGGACAGGTATAAATTCAGGATGTGTTTGAAAGGGGCCTCTTTTCATAAAATGCTCTAAATGGGAAACGTACAACATTATCTTTGCCAGTCTACCATTTAAAATGTTAATAAGACTTGAGAGGAAACAATTACTCAAACAATTGGCTGAACATAAGAAAATTAATCTGCAACTATTTGAATAATTGATTAGCTGTCCAAGTCTTTTTCAAGCAGAAATACTATTCTCTAGCTTCTCAAATGTGCGGATTTGCTGCTTTTCTTTGCCTTATGTGAGAGTAAACTGGATATCTTTGGGTTTTGGACTGTTAGCTGGACAAAACAAGCTATTTGGGCTATGGGAAATTAGGATGCAATTTTATAGACTGAATGATTACTCGATTAATCAAGAAAATTGTCAGCAGACGAATCAGTAATGAAAATAATTATTAGTCACAACCCTAATTTAGACACCTCCAGGTTTACTGAGTAGAAGCTCCTTTATAGTCAACACTGAAAACAGGGTAAAAACAGCAATGGAATTAAAAGTGAGCACTTTGAGAAGTTATATTAAATAATAATAATGGTATTATGTGGGGTCATACCAGGCACTCCCACATGCTCCTCAATGAAGTGGACATATTTCTGGGCGTTCTCAGGCAGCTCTTTAAAGCTTCTCACAGCCGAGGTGTCACTTTCCCAGCCCGGCAGCGTCTCATACTGGACCTCCACACGCTGCAGCACCTCCTGATTGGCTGACGCAGAATCAATGAAACAAGAGGTTGTTTGGGGGTAATATCACACCATTAGCATTACAGGAGACTGCAATCCAACCGCTATGACAACAGATCAATATATGTTTCATCTGAAATGGAGCTCTGTAAAAATCTTGTACACCCTGGAAGAAGAGGAAAAGCTGGAGACAGGCCAAGGAGAGATTAGACAATATCCACTGATTGCTGAGATGCACTGACTTCACTTTTTCACCGATAACATCAGTTCAATAGACTTAATGGGTCCTATTTAAACAATCTATAGAGCACGGTCTCAAGTGCATAGTGCAAGTAGATTTAAGAAGTGTCCAAATGCACCTTTGCTAGTTAAAATGGCACATCATCTGGGAAAAATAAAGGTGCCAGCTTTTAGTTATGACACATTTGTTTGCCTGACACTGTGTTATACTAATACCACTATCCTATCTGCCTGTATCCTGATCAAAAAAATAAAAAGGAGGACCAAAAAGAAGAGCCTTCAATTATTCTCTTAATATGTGCTGACATTTATTTGAACACTTACACAGGAAGTACTCATTCACACACAGGCTCACCTGGAAAATGAGGTATAGTTTGGTCGGCAACTTTGTAGGCTACGCCCACTTTGATCTCAGCGAACACGTCAAGTATGTCCAGCTTGGTGAGTGCTAAACTAGGGGGGGGGGGCAAAGGGGACAGGACAGTTATAACTGTGCAGAGACTCTTCCTGAATACGCAGTTCGCTCTGTTAACAAACTTAGTACCAATCCTAATATCATGTTGTGAAGCAAGAGAAACCCTTAAATTTAGATACAGAAGCTGCACACATCTGGTGAAATTCTGTACCTTTAAAACATTTAGCAATATGTACTGCAAAAGCAAAAAATATTGCAGAAACATTTTCAACCCATTGGAGACATCAACACTTCAGGGAACCTCCAATACGCACACACAAAACAAAGCAAATCAATACAAACACACACATACACACTGAACTCACGCGGTGAAGCCATTAATCATGTGTGCATATTTGATGAGCACTAGATCCAGCCACCCACATCGTCTCTTCCTGCCTGTGGTCACGCCCACCTCTTTCCCCCGAGTCTGAAGTCGCTCTCCGATCTCCTAAAGACAACAAGATGTGCACAGACAGTCTCATGAGTCTTCTGCTATCTGACTTGTGAACTGCGTTTTTGTAAATGTTCAATGCACAATATACACATTATAGTCTTCATTTTTAGTCATGAGCAGGTGTCACAGGCAGATCTATAGACCTGCAACAATTAAGTTTACTACAGCTGGTTATTGGTGGCAGTGTAGCAAAACCTTTTCTGGGTGGTGCTGTTTGAAAACAAAGCTACTTGCAGTCCTTCTGGTGTATACTGTACATATCAAGTCATTACACCATGTTTTGACCACGTAGGCAAAGCGAATGAAAATGTTGACATGTGAATGAACAGGGTTTTTCCTCCAGATGTTTTTAATTACTTAATAATACTTTGTGTGTCAACATACTTTAGGTCACCTGAGTTGAAAGATGTACACCTTTAAACTTAGTTGTAAACCAAATGATTTTCCTGTGACAAACTATCCATCTTTTTAACTTTTTTTAAAAACATGATTTAAAGGACTTCATATTTTATGTCATGTTGGATGGGTGGTACAAGTTACTGTGTGTATCCTCTTACGTTGCTCTGCTCAGAGGGGAAAGCGCCGATGCCCACTCTGGTGGTGTACGCCTTGACAACCCCGTAAACCTCCCCGACGTTCTGAGGCGGCATGCCTAGACCCGTACACACCCCGCCCACCGTGCAGTTGGACGATGTCACAAACGGGTACGTCCCTGCAATGAGACCAGGAGTGAAGACTGATCATACTTTTCATTTACACCGTTGATACAGGTCGAACAAACATGCAACGGAAAAAAACATGTGGGAAGATTAGAGCAGGGGTTTGTAGAGTCTGAAACTGTAGGCACCCCAGCATCTCCATGTAGATGAGACATGGAGTTTTGGAACTACAGTTTGTTTGGGGGATGTTGCTGTCATTTCAGTGAGCAATCCAATTAAGACAATTAAGATACTTTAAAACCACCATACATCTATCCCTCTGCAGCCCCCCAGCGACTCTCTTGCAACGCCGCATAGTAGTAACCCCTTGTCTAGAGAAAGGTAGCACATCACATTTAATGAGTTTTTTTATTCATTCATCTCTAAATTAATTTCACCTACAGTGGTGTGGGCATGGCAAGGCGAGGGTGAGAGCTGTTTCCGGACGAGACACTGTGTTGACATAGCGGATATGCTTGTTTAATCTGGATTTACAGTGACGACTCTAAAGAATCTTCTAAAGAAGGGTTAGAGTCCCTAAGTGTTAAAGGGTTAGAGTCCCTTGGTAACTAAAGGGGGGATAGAGTGGGAGATGGGGAATCAAAGGAGTAAAATAAGCAAAGTTGGGAGACCTGCCTGTTTTTATTTTCTATTTTAATCTTTTTTATATTTCCCTGTTGCTTTTATGTTTTATGTAAAGCACTTTGAATTACCTTGTTGAAATGTGCTATACAAATAAATTTGCCTTGCCTTAAGCTACTGTACTGATTCAGTTGGCTGACTAGTCCACCTGTCCTGAGAACACTGATGATACACGGAGCAACTTTTAGAGCAATGGCACTGAGCAATGTTAATGAGTAAAGATTACTACCGTAATCCCCTTCCCCCACCACCCGCCACGCACCGCCGCCAGCTGTTCAAAACATAGTCGGACTTGCCACTAGCAAGATTGCCCAGCAACATTGCTCAAAAAATTGCCCCGTGTATCATCAGCTTAATATGCTTCCTCCTTCAATCACTTGACACTACATCTGTTTAGTCAAATAACTTCAGTGAAATGGTCTCAAATACGTAGCTGTGAGCTTGAGGCTAAATGGCTTCTTGATAATTAAATTGCCTGAAAAGGAAGAACTTCAATCCAACAAACACTTAAAAGCACTTTTATTGCTCTGGCCGCCCAGCAGGATGTCCTTGAGGGGACAATCACTTGACATGAACACTAAAACAACTCCACCTCACATATTCAAAAAACAGTGTGTCGCAATTTTGCTTCAACTATTATAATACATGTAAATGAGGTTGTGTGTTAAGTGAAGAACAGGTTTTTAACAGCAGCCAGTGTACCCATCAGCAGTCATGTGTCAAGTGCCCAGCAAGCTCCCACATAAGTCTTGATAATAGTTCTACGAACACATAAGCTTATCATAAAAGTACACAGATAAAGATACAACCAGACGCTACTGTGACATTTGCCACAACGTTTAACAAGTATAAATGTAGCCAGACAGAGAGAGAGGCAGTTTGCCTATCAGTGTGCAGGACACTGTGCCCTGATAACACCAGTTATTACAAGCATGGTGTTTTGATAATAACCAGCGTTGAACCTTGCCTGTGATTTAATCAGCTCAGTGCCGTCACTGCTCTCAATAATGACAGGTCTGCTCTGTTACAGGGAGATACTAAAACATCTACACAATTGTTATGTTGAGTCTGTGGTGTCATTATCTAATAGGAAAAATATATGTTCATGTTTTCAGACATCAACCTTTTGAGAATGTTTCTGGATTTAATGATTACTCTGTCATTCTGATTGACTGACTGGCAGACTGCTGATATAGGATGCCTTCGTGCTCATGCACAGTCAGGTGGCATTAAGTGGGTTCAACTGTGAGCGTGCACGTCAAGCCTGGATGCCAGAGCACTTTAGTAGCAGTTAGTAAACTTACCATCACCCCTAGTCTGAGCTCCAAGCAGGCTTTTGTAAAGAGCATCACAAAGCTTAAGTGTTTCCGGGCAACATCACTGGGTCACTGTAAATGGACTCAACAGCGCTCGCCAATTAGAAATGACATTTACTCTCAGAGTACAGGTTAGCACAAAGACGTTGGCTTATTTTCAAAAGGGTCATTGGAAAATATACAGAACCAAACAAGTTAAGAGTAAGGCGTGCTTAATGTCGGTGCACATGCGCACGCACACATGCACACAGCGATATACTGACCAAAATCTATGTCCAGTAGCGCTGCGTTCGCTCCTTCCACTAGGATCTTCTTAGGAGGACCATGAAGAGCCTCGTACATGTAGTGCACCCCGTCCCTCACCATAGGCTTGATCCGCTCCACATAGTCCTGAAAATCATACATATACATACAAACTGTTACTGCAAAGAGGTCAATTTCTAGAGATAGTTTTCCATTTCATTTTCATTACCTTTAATTTGACCAGCTCTCCCTCTATGTCAATCTCCAGTGTGGGGTACATGGCCTTGTACTGCTGGGCCAATACCGTATACCTGTAATTCAGATTTATTTATATAGCACCATTTCAGATTCAACAGAAGTTATCTCAGTGCACTGTTGATACAGAGAAGGTCTAGACCATACTCTTTGTAATAATATTCACAGAGACCCAACAATTCAATTAACAACATTGATAAGTTTTGATTAATTTCCGGCTGGACTGTGACGATACGATTCTACATCACGCTGCAATGAGATTATAAACACGGAAGACTCACAAACAATATTTCTGTCCATTTTTTCTGTGCATTAGAAATCCATTGCTTATTGATCAACCACCATTCCCAGACACGAAGGAGCCCCAGGAACTCAACTCTGGAACCAAATAGTCCTTTTGAGCATTCCTGTTTGAGTTTCCACCACCAACTAGACCAATAATGTAAAAAGCTATAACGCTATAAGTGGTGTTTGGTTTGACCTGTCTGTGAAGTTACACCCTGATGCTTTCTGTTGCCCCAGGAACTATTATCCCTTGTGCAGGCATTATTTGCTTTGGGAGCAGGAACTACACCCCAGGAACGACATTTAGGCCGTGTTCAGACCGACATCAAGCCTGGTGAAAAAATCCAGCCGCCTCATTCATTTGATCAAGGCCAGTCCAAAGCAGAATCAGGCTCAAGTTTGTCTGGATTGCAACATGAAGTCATCTGGCCAATCAAGTACATGCAAGCTCCTGGTGGATTACTTTATAACGTGAAAGTATTTACTACTGTTTACCTTGCAATCGTTGCGACAAAAGATAAAATAAATGCCGCCTTGATAACTATCCAGAGGTGTAAACTCCTGTTTCAAGAATATTATAAACCGCTGTGGAGTGTTTGACGTCTTATAAGCTTTCAAACTCACTGATATGTTAGTCAAACTGGATGTACCCTGTACCCCACCAACGCAGCCCTTTGCAATGCTTCAACGCAGGCCTGTTTCAGTCTGAACGACAGCTTAGACGTGGATTCTTTTAGTCAAAATGCAGGTAAAGTTTCTGATTTCCTGGAATGGTTGGAACAGGCTATGAAACTGAAGCTGAGGATTTGCGGTTGGGTTTCTGAGTTCTTTGATTCAAGGAAAGGTTTCAGCGAGGGGAAGGGACAGTAAGGCATGAAGCAAACAATTAAATTATTCACAGACTTGAATTAATTACTAATCTTAACTCATCGCCCAATGGTCTTCGGTGATTGTTCACACACTGAGCATATTATCTTACATACAGATTTCATCAAAACCCCAGACACAGACATAATCTCATACTATTGGCACAGACCTTTCAGAGAACTGGGTGAAGTCAGCCAACAGGTCACATATCCTGAGACCGCTACGTGCTGCCTTGGCCGAGTACACCGGACCAATCCCCTTCTTTGTTGTCCCGAGGCTAGGTGGGGCCACGACAGGGAAGGGAAAAAAAATAAAATAAAAAGCACAGAAGGAGCATTAGTATGTTATCTCAATTTACAACATGGATTTTAACAGTTTCAACGCTCATCATGTCATCCATCTAATTATTGTGAAACGTCTCCAGACCCCGGATTGGAGAAACTCTCTCACATCACAAATCTGGGTGCAAATTAGTAAACAAATGACAGCAAAACCTTATTTGAATTGTCCAATGCAGATACTCAAGTGACAAACAGCAGATGTTCAACACCATTATTCGGCCATTTTCTGTATTTCTATAGACTTGAGTCGCTAAATATCTTAATACTGATGTATCAGTACGGCCACTTGAATGAGTATCAGAGAAGGATTACTCCAATAACACATTGAACTAGTTACCCATGTACATATGACACTCAATATGCGCTTCTTGTAACTCAGTCTATTAAAAGGAAGGCCTGCCACAGTAAAATGTGCTTACCCTACATGCAAACTACAGAATGGAAAGATCCTCTATCATTATTGAGTTTCATCACCAGCAGCAGCCTATGTAAAACATTCAGTACCCAAACACCATGTGCACTCAGTGACTGAAAAGCCCACGTGTTTGAGAGTTGCTGCCAGTGGTGGAAGTAGTACTCAGATCCTTTACTTAAATGTTATATTGACAATAAGGGGTGTGATGATACACCAAATCCACGGTTCGGTTCAGACCTCAATTTTTGATCCACGGTTTGGTTCATATCGTGGTCCAGACGTATAGAGCAAAAAAGGAAATAGTCAAGTAAAGTAACTCAAAGCTTTACTTCCACCACTGTCTGTTGCTGTTTATATTTAAAATTGTGATTTAAAAAACTAAGGACTGCATAACACATTATTTAAAATTTGAAATGTGGAAACTTTAAAATACCATCTGACAGAACAGATGGATTAATGAACACCTTTAAAATGTACATTCATGTTTTCTTACCAGATAGGACACTGACCTTAAGACAAAGATGGAATGGATCAATTATGTCTTTATGTCAGATCTCAGTGGCTAAGAGCTGTGGTATCCTGTCATTAAGGCATTTATAACACCTGTTTTTGTTTGTGTAGATGCGTCTATAGCTACTATGATATAAGAATGAGTATTGTGAGTGATGCATCAACTATACAAATCAATAAAAAAAGAAAAATGGCCATAGACTAGCCACTCGATGTATTTTGTTGTTTAACATCATCAGTCTGGATTTGCTTTAAACCACCAATTGAATCATAAAGAACAGTGTTTAGTGTGTTTAGTGTCAGATTAACACCTGTCACTTTCACACTTAAATGCTGAAATTTGGTACTTCTGGAGAATTTTATTTATTATTATTTTAAACCTGCAATAAATGGGGGCAGTGGAAACAAGTTGTGAACACAACATTAACACATCATCACGCTTTAAGTTGATATGGTAAACTTGTTAGAAAACAGCTGATTATTTCGAGCAACATTAGCACGTATTTGGAGCTGTGTTTTTGGCCACCTGGTGAATGTAAGCCCAATATTGACTCTCTTTTAGCTCTGTGTTTGGTCTCCACCAACTCCTGAAGGAAATGTCTGACTGAAAACAGACAACTGCTGCAGAAAAAAAAATTACGCTATGAGAGCGATGAGCCGAGGGGAGCTGCAAATTCAGATGATAATTCTTTTTAGGTTCCTCATTGCGAGGGACCCCTTTCACCTTGTCATTTGATTTGTGTTATTATAAAACTATCAATTATAACTAGAGCTGCACGATTATGGCCAAAATGATAATCACAATTATTTTGATCCATGTTGAGATCACAATTATTCATTGATTTTAAGGACAATATATTTTTATTGCACTTTCAAATAAAAAAATAAAATAAACAGGCAACTGTTTTCACATCCATGATGTACTGAATTTCTGATTATGTGCAAATCTTTCACAGATCAATCATCACAGTAAGACTGTTTCATCATCTACTAGAAGCAAAATATAAATAACATTTCACCCGGAAAGTCCACTGAGTCCGGCTACTGCTGCCCCACGGACTTGTCCCGTCCTCTGCACAGCGTCAACTTCCACTGGAAGCGTCTCAGACGCATTTCAGGAGCTGAGCACATTCTTGGCTTGTTGTTATTTTGTCCTTTATGTGCTTCTACCTATGGCTCCTACTCTGCTTTCCAGCAACGGCTCTCTGCGACCTGGTTGTATTTGGTTGTCTGCACGGCTGCTTATCCTACAGGGAGCATTTCAGAATCAGAGCGTTTTGCCTGCTTGATCTTGCTGACATGTTTAGATTTTGTTGATTTGATAAACAGTGCTTACTTTTTTGTGATTCTTCTATGATTAAGTAGGCAATGTAGATAAATGGTTCTTGGTCTGATTTAACTGTGTTTTTGTTGATTTATGATTGGGAGTATCTGCAGGGTGTTTTATTTTGAAAATTGACTGGAATTGACTTCTTGCCCAGTTCGATGTGCTCTGGGCAGCTTGATAGACTTGTGTATTCTTTGAGGAGCTGTGAGCTGCTTCTGGCTCGCTTCTTGGACATGCTGCGTGTGATTGACTTCCAAGCATTGACTAGGAGGGCCGTGACTTGTGGACTTTGCTGTCTATTCTGGACAGTAGCAGCAGGAGGGTGCGCGCAGAAAAATTGGCCCCTTGGCTGCAAGTTAAGGAAGCGCTTCATTTGATATGCAGCAGAGTTTTCCATGAGCGGAGCATGCAATTTAAACGGCGATATCACCGTCGATCATGTTTATTTAATTGTGGGAAATTAAAATCGTAATCGCAATCAATATCCGATTACTTGTGCAGCCATAATTATAACTGCTGTAAATTTGGAAAGTATTGACCAGTTAAGAGTGCAAACAAAACTGCTGCTGATGCTACTTAGTGCACTTTAAAACATCAAAGTTTACAGCAGAACATACAATTTTCAATGTTCAGGTACAAAAATAACTTTATTAGTCTGTGCTGGTCGCAGGATTCAACGCAAAACCGCTGGGTTCAGTGCAAAAGTTAAAACTATTTTGAACTTTGACCACGGCATGCGTGCGAGGTTGCCAAGCTGTGCGCTTCACCGTGCTTTGGCTTTGCTTGACGCAATAACACACCGACCTGGTGTGGCGCAAGCCATTGAACATAATGGGTTTCATGGCGCAGCAGTGCGGCAGTCGCGATCTGTCTGAATGGCCTATTAGTGTATAATATGTAGAGCAGTGTTGTTGTAGCATGGCTCTGTGTCAACAATGATGAATAATCTCTAAAATCATCCAGATGGATGACACAGACCTTCCTAAAGTTCACATGAGAAAAGACTATGGCTCACTGCTAACATGAAATGCATAATGCAAACAACCAAAGCTGAGGAATGCAGGGAGTGAATATTTGCTCATGACACTGTATGTTCTACTTGATGTTGGCGGTGACTCATAAGATAAGTCCAATGAACTGTCTGTCTGTCTGTCTGTCTGTCTGTGTGTCTGTGTGTGTGTGTGTGTGTGTGTGTGTGTGTGTGTGTGTGTGCAGCCATCATCTTTAAGCAACATGTTTCTTACTTCTTGCCTGCTTGCTCTTGTCTCTGCTGTTCCTGAACGCCATCAACCGCTTGGTGGAAGTCAAACACTGCGGAGGAGGGAGAGAGGGGACACACACTCTCACACACCTCAGAGAAAGCAGGGCTCACACACCCACATACATTCACACATAGTTTAATGCCCCGGGGCAGAACTGGGAGGACTTACCAATATGCGCTCTGTCCGAGATGATCAACCTTTTCTCCCAGTCTTTTAAACCTATACACACAAGTAAGCTTTGAGTCTTGACACATTAAAAAGTACACAAGTTTGTTCTGTTAGTTCCTATTATATAATGTATGTGTTTAAAACAACTGTACGTCGCCCACCTTTTCCTTTGCGTTCGTTCTTTTCTGCCTCTTCAAACAGGCCTGGAAGGTGGATCACTACACCATTGCCTGGAGAAAAAAAAATTAACAGTTTTTGATCCTTAGATCCTGTTTCAGGATGTTTAGGTGGAAGAAGTACCCCATACTTTAGTAAAAGTATCAATAATACCAGTAAAAGTCTAAGCTAATCCATTCAAAATTTCTATTTTTGTATTCAATGTGTTACCCAATTAAAATTTACATTTATATTCATTTAGCTGACACTTTTATCCAAAGCGACTTACAATGGCTAAGTATGTAAGAGTTCGCACACCTTTGGAGCAACTAGGGGTTAAATGTCTTGGCTCAGGGATACAATGGTGGATGTGTCACAATGGAGAACTGAACTGAACCCAGGTCTCTCACCAAAGGCATGTGTCTTATCCACTGCTCCATCACCACCCTCATATTTAAATGATAAAATAAATACATATAACTGATTTCTTGCCTGTTCTATTATATTCTACATTTATAATAACAGGTTGATGGATGCTGTAGCAGGCCACTTAGCACTCCTGTGCTGAATAAGATATTACTATATGAAATATCATTTGTTTAATGAGGCCTTTATAGAATAATAGTTTGTTACACTGAGGTCTGAACACAAGGTAACAACATGATCTGTTACCCCTGTAAATTGTGAAGCTGTAGCACTGCTAGATAGAAGACACATCAAATTGTAAATCCATGGTAAGTTACATACAGAATAAAATAAAACACAGCACGCAAAAGACAAAAAATGTTTTATGCATGTAAACTAGGGCTGTAACATTTTATTGAAAATTCAAACATTTGTTCATCCATGTGATCCAGCACAGGACGCTCAGTTTGACCTATTGAATGCCCTATTGAACTATTAAGCTAAGCTCCAAATGTGTGTTTGCTACAAAATATGGGACACTAGCAAGCAAAGAGTATTTGTGGTTCCTCACCATCGAAGGCAAAGCCGCTGTTTCACTCTACGACAACAAATCTGCGGACTCACCTACTAGCTTGCCATCCATGTGAGGCAGCGGAGGCACTGTCAGTGCCAAATCCATACCACCTGCCAGATCCGTTCGCACATGCGCAAAAGTGGTTCTGTCAGTCAAAGAAGGTTACTGCAAATCAGCCTATTCAAAATGATCCAACTAAATCTTTCAAATCAAGATAACAAAATGTTTTTAATCACAGGAGATTAAACTGTTCACTATGATGTAATAGGAATATATTTAAGAGATGAAAAACCTTATTCAACAGTACATTTTTAATTTCTAATAATGACAACATGTCTATGTCAAAAAGGAGGCTAACCCTAGCTGCTAGCACATCGGCACACATCAGTCGACATGCATACAATCGCTGAGTTAGGTTTAAGCACACACCCCTGTGATGGTTAGGCTAAGGGTAAGGGGCTTTGGAAAGCTGTCAACGCCTTTTATACTAACATAGCGAGCTACCTAACTACTAGCACTTCCAGTCTAGACAGGGCGTCTCATACAGACACGCCTGGGGGCGTCTCAAACATACACTGTAGGGTATCTTTTGCATCAATACACATACTGCCCTCTCTCTCTGGCTCTCTCTCTCTCCCTCACCCCAACTGGTCGAGGCAGATGGCCGCCCACCCTGAGCCATGCTTCTGCTCGAGGTTTCTGCCTCTTAAAAGGAAGTTTTTCCTTGCCTCTGTCGCCTAGTGCTTGCTCTCGGTGGGAACTGTTGGGCTTCTGTAAATAGCATCATAGAGTACGGTCTAGACCTGCTCTTTTATGAAAAGCGCTGTGAGAAAACTGTTGTTGTGATTTGGCGCTATATAAATAAAATTGAATTAAAATTGAATTGAATCAAATACTATGATTAAACAACAGCCTTTCTGAAAGAGAACAGACAACAACACACAAGTAATTATGAAAAGGCACATTTGTGGTAACCTTCTTTGACAGAAAGGACCACTTCTGAGCATGTGCAGATAGGGATCCAGCAGGCAGCACGGATTTGGTACCTACAGGCACTACAGAGGAGCAGAGCCGCGCTCTGAACAGATGCTCTCTAATATGCACACACCCGAGAATCCACCAGGTGCAACCTCGTAATTCTGTGATTGAATAGACAGTGATGGGAAGGAGTCCCTCTGTTGCAAACATTTACACCATTGGACAACTGGAACCTACGGCTCTTTACACCGCACAAGTTTGGGCTGTTTGAGATGAAAGTTTACATTTACAGGGGAAAAGTAAAATCTTTGGTCGTCGTTCCAATAACACAACAGCTTATTAGTTGTTGTGATGACCAAAGAAAGTCTGACAAAAATCTGCTACATCAAGTCAATGTCTGAAATTGTGAAGGAAGGCCAACTGTGATGTTAAGGGATCTGTCAAACAGAGCTGGTTCAAACGATGCCTGTTCACAAGAGTATTCAAACAACTGGTCCCATTTATCTTTTTAATTGGGTTGCATTAACTGGAGGAGGAGATGTAATTACTTTGACCAAATTAAATGTAAGAAATGTGGAAAAGGCAAAAAAAAACAAAACCAACAAACACTACTTCAGTGACACTGTAGGAATTAACTTGAGAGATAAAGATATTACCATTTCCAGGTCAAAAACAGGAAAGACCTAAAAACATTGCTCCCAGGGCTGGAGGCTCTGAATGTACTTTTATTCACAAAGCAGAGAATGGGACAATGAAACTAAATTAATAAACAGTGTGAGTACAAATTAGAAATGTTTGTTCGTCTCACTGTTTGAAAATCTATTAGCACTGCCAAGTAACACAAATAATACTAAATGCTTAGCTAGGTATTCTTTGCAAAATAACAAGCAACTGTCAAAATAACTGACTAGAGCTCAAGGTCTGATCTCATTAATAGCTTTGTATTAGGTTATTTTGTATTCTTTTTACTCTATATTAACAAAACACTGGTCAGACCTGCGGCAAGTTATTAATGGCTTTATAAAAACTGAATCTGAAACCAGTGCACTGACTCCTGAGTGAATTCAGACAGCTGTTGTTCCCGACAACCTGAATGACTCATTGTCCATTTTATCATTACTATTCATCGAGAGGGGAACATGAATGTCTGCACCAAATATTATGGCAATCCTTCAAATAGTTGTCAAGACATTTCACTCAAAACTACAAATGTGAACCTCAAGGTGGCGCTAGAGGAAGATGAATGAGTCAGGTGATCAAAAGTCATTAGGATTCATCTTCGGGAGACCACGAGTGTCTAGACAAAATGTTGGCAATCTATCCAACACTAGCTGAGCTATTTCAGTCTGGACCAAAGCCAACATGCCACCCTTATACCATGTCACTAGCATGGCTATAAATATCCACAAACAAAAAAAAACAGCACTATCAAGGAAGAGATGCTAAAGTTGCTAAAATTTGTTCTGCATTTACTGTGAAACAATCCTTTGGCAGCTTTCAATGGACAGTAGAAAGAAGGAAATGCTAAACATGAATGACAGACCAGTCTGCTGCCCTTTTAAAAATAATTAACACCTTCTACAGCACGACAAAAAGTGATCTCAACTTCAGAGCCGGAAAATCTGACCACGTCCGCAGAGGATAGCTCAACATGCAGAGCATGAACTAGCTGAGAGTAGGTGCCCTCAGAGAGGTGACAGCGTCCAAGTATACACTTACAGTACTGTTGGACACTTTGGGATAAAAGCTTCCGCTAAATTAAATGTATTGTTATGACTATGCTGTACATAATGTCTACTGCTGAGGTTAAAGGTTAAAAAAAAGCTCCTTGTGATAAAAGGTGGAGCGAAAAAAGGAAGGAAGCAAACAAAAAATACACTGCTATACATGCAAACATTTTGTTGTAATATTGGTCCTATTTTGCCTTAAATATTAAATAGAAACAGATGAAGTAATACTCCATCTTGTTATACAACTCTGTGTTATAAAATGATAAATAAATCTACTGTGCAATAAAACAAAAAACTTAAGATCATAAAAGGTGGGACAAGAACTAAGAAAAAAGCAGAAATGTGATTCAGTATTGACAGACCATACAGCCGTACGTGTTAAAAGTGCAAAGAAGAAAGAAAGAGTAAGAGACCATTAGCTAATGAAGTTACTGCAGATGAGTGGATGTGATGCAGTCTGGCTCTGAGTCAAGCTAATCACGCTCGTTGTAGCAGTCGTCAAAATGGAGGCCGTTGCTCTGGCAGTGACGAGCGCCAGGCTAAAAGTAGTCTCAATCAATTCATCAGGAAAATTGCTACGAAAGATGACCTTGGAAAGTGTGTATGTGTGTGTGCTTCAGTGAATGTGTAACTCCCACAAATGTGAGTGTGAAAGTGTTTGCATCTGTGTGCATTACCCACCAATGAAGGCGGTGGCCTTGGGGTTGATGATGCCGCTGGGGAGGAGGTGAAAGTCGTACTCCACTGAGTCGACCACCACTGTGTGTCCCGCGTTGTTGCCGCCCTGCAGAGAAAGAGGCCGATGAGGAGGGGCAAACAGAAAGACAGAGAGGCATGAGACTAATGGAGGCTCTGCAACTTTGTTTGGCTGATCAGGGAGACAGGCTGAATAGTTTGGCAAGTCGCAACAAGCATCATACCACTGCCTGTTAGTATGTGCGATGCTGCTTAGAGACTCCTGCTCACTATGCACTCAGATCTCAAGTGAAGATCTCACTCAAGTGTAAACCTACTGACACATGCGTCACCAAAAGGACAAGTAAAATGGATTGTTGCTTCTATGGATTAAAAATTAGGTAAAAAAATGTTCCAGTACCTACACCCAAAACCACATCCCATCAGAACTTGCTGTGCCCTACACCTAGATCCAAAAACAAACATCTAGCTGGAGGAATAACATGTTCTTTTGCAACCTTATAACAAGCTAGCGCGCGGAGCATCCAGTCCTGCACCAGCAGATAAAAAGAAACAGCGTCAGTATTGTGGTGTAAACTAAATTATAATAAATAAACAATAACAAATAAACCAGGTCTCGGAGTGGAGCTGCACTGTGACTGAGATAAAAAGTCTGACAAAGTTAGATGCTAAAAACATCTTTCAAAAGCAAAGCGGTCCATGAGTAATACGAGAGGCGGTCCCTTAGACAGTCACAGGGATGTTAGAGGAGAGAAGTTTATAGCCTTCAGTACATGGTGCTGCACTGTCGGTGCAGCAGAGGATGATAATGGACAGGGTCATTAAATTGGCATGACGGTTAACAGAATATTAATTTTGCTTTTTAGTGTCTGTGTCAAAATTAATCTCCAAATTCATTCAGATTTAAATTATTATGATGTTAGGTCAAATAGTTTGTTGTTGCTTTTGCCCCGTAGTAAGTAAGTAAGTAAATAAATAAATAAATAAATAAGTAAAGATTATTTATAAAGCACCTTTCACAGACGAGAGGTCACAAAGTGCTTTACAGTTAAAATATAAACTAAAAACAAATACAATAAAAACAACTGTACATATAGCATATAATACCTTAAAAAGTTTGGGGAAAGAAAAAACATATTGCAAATTAAAAGCTCACCTAAAAAGGTGTTTCTTTAGGTGTTTTCTAAAAGTTTCCACAGAATCCCAGGCTTTCAAGGCCTTGGAGCCACTACGCAGAAAGCATGATGACCTCTTGTCTTAAAAACGTGTTTTGGGAATAGTTCAAAGGTCTTGGCCTGAAGACCTCACAGAGCGTCCAGAGGTGTGTACATGCAATAGCTCCTGGATGTAAGAGGGATCTTGACCATGCAAGGCTCTGTAAGCAACGATAAAAAATTTAAAAGGGCCTTAAGCACAGGAGTAGTGTGCAATCTCCTGCTGGTTTTAGTCAATAGTCTTGCAGCTGCATAGAAGATTTGTAGAACAAGTGTACAGTACAAGTACATTCAAAAATCCAACCGTAAAAGCAGGAACAAGCATCTCCATCTCTTTTTTAGAAACCAAAGATCTTTTATCTGAAGGCAGGCTGATCTGTATTTGACTCGCATGACAGGTCTGGAACACACATGAGTTTTGCCTTTACCCAAGAGAAAATCGGTCAAATTCTCTTCATGCATGAGGCCCAGTTTCACTTAGCTAGTAAACAAGTGGCTCAAACTGGGAGACAAATTATGATTTAATAATTATTATTTATTTTATTTATTTATTTAAATTAATAAAACAAATTACATGTTAGAACATTATGCACTTCTATTAAATGCATATAATACCTGGTAGAGTCCTAAATAACTTGACCTGACAGGATTACTTTTCATCGGGTTAAAACAAGTTGTCAAAACACAGCATTAAACAAGACATATGCAATTAACAATCATGACAGGTTAATACTCACTTGAAATAAAGCTTGTTAACCACTGGGGTAGCAGAAAAACACAAGACAAGTTGACACTTCTGTGTAGTAGCCAGCCAATCGACTGCTTGATGCTCAACCACTCTGAACGGTTGATGAAGAGGAACAAAGTCCTCAAATGGGCCAGGATTAAAGGCCGTGTTTTAACGCAGACAATATGTGCCCGCCGGGTGTTTAATCTAGACTCTGCATACAGGCCTATGCATGATTTACCATAGCTGACAATGGAGATAAAAATGCAAAAGTTGAGCCCAGAAGGCGAACAGTGAGTCCTAGAACAAACGTCACAATCTGACCTGCTTTACGCTTTACAAGACAGGAAGGGACAAATGGATTCATTAATGTGTTTTAAGAAAGTTTTTTTTTTTTTATTTGCTTCAGATCCAGTCATGCCCCTACAGCTTGCGTCACTGAGTTGCCAATTCAACTCAGTCCGTCCTGTGACTAGGATGTATTCCTAATGGTGTACCCTGCGGATATAAAAAAATAAATAAAAAAATTCAGGCCCAGCATGTGGTTCGACCACATGGGGTTATTCCTGGCCACAGCAGTACCCTGGAGGTGGAGAGGGGGAACAGATGGGGGGGGGGCACAGATGCCGGTCCTTTTTAGATACTTTTACGATCCCTCCCATCCCCCACAGCACCTAAATCTGGTTCTCGTACAGTTCAGTCCCATGATCGGCCTCCTATCACGAGTAACTTGATACTCACCTGGTTTGTGCATCACTATGACAACACTGATTTACCACTGTCAATTTGATCTAACAGATTGGTGTCGGGGAAGTTGTTCCACTGGTAGCGTTCACCTGACACTACCTGAGCTCAGTGAATCGACGGTCTAAGGATAGAAGGTGTTGTTTGCTGTGTAGATTGTAAAGCCCTGGACACAACTTCTGTGATTTGTGATATTGGGCACTATAAATAAACCTGACTTGACATTCACAGAAACAAAAGTGTTAGAAAAACCTGAAGACCTGAAGGGTTAGGTGTGAAATCTGGACGACAGGCTGATGGTTCTCTAACACCTCTTTCAGAATAAATAAATAAAGGCCAGAAATAACTCACTTTTGGAGCTTCTTCAGCCCTGGAGGTTGCCGCTTGCATTCAACATGTTAGTTTTGCCAGGGACGTAAAGTAGCGGTGCAAAGACCCCCTTCCCTGCTTCCTACCACCTTACTTCTGCTGCCCTTGCTCAGTCCACAAACATTTTCAAACTCTGCCTTCAATCTCAACTACATACGTGATGTTTCGTGACCACATTTTGCCACAATGGCACGCAAACACACGCAAAGTGAAAACTATACCAGCATCGCTTGTAATAAACACGACCTGTTACATCATTACACATACTGAATTTTACGTGTAAAAACAAAAGTAGAAATGTGACTTGTTTTGCACAAGGCCTGCAACTAACGATTTTCATAATAAATTATTTCCTCAAAATGTTGTGTGTGTAAAATAGTGAAAATATCACGTGACGTCAAGTGTCTCATTTAGTCCCACCAACAATTTAAAAAACAGGTTAAATAATTAAAAAAGAAAATGATTTGATAATGAAAATTGTAGGGTTGCTGCTAACGATGATTTTAGTACTTGAATCTTCTACTGATTATTTCATTGATGATTTGTTTAAGAAGTACTTTTGCTTGGCGGCGGCGCCCCCCCCACCAGTAATGGGATAAGCTGTGTACGCTGATAGATGATGGATATTAGTCCTTTTCGGAAATTCAGTGCGTCATACAGCAAACAGACCAACAACCAACCAACACAACACACACAACCCCCCGAGTGTATACTATACAAGTTATACTAAGGTGCAGCTCCCCGACACCCAGTTAACTCATGAGTGTGACGTTACAACCCAAACTCACGGCAAATTTACAGCTGAGGTCTGCGGCTTACTTTGGCTAGCCTCCAACTCAACAATCAATCTTGATTTCAGTTAAATGCTAAAGTTATTATTACCTTGTCTGTGGTCCGGCAGCAGAACACCGGGTGCTTTCTGATCAGGTGCCATCGTGCTATTGCGGTAACATTAGGCGACATAAGTTGTTTTCTCTCTCTTCCTCAACTTTACAAACAGTGCCATCATGATCACGTCGTTTTCACACAGCGTAAGTGCGATAGGTAACAAATGTCCATGCGAAACAGCGTGCTATATAGTTTTATGGATTAAACGAAGATTTTAGTAATCGAATTAATCCTTTCAGCCCTAGAAAATAGTTGCTGATTAACGATTTGTCAATCGAACTAATCATTCCAGCTCTATTTAGCAGACAGATTTATATGAAGTCTGATTATGCAGTAACGTGTAAAATAACTACAGCACAGGTTTTTCCTGTGTCAAAGATGATGATCAGATATTTGTAAACTGTCTGTTCACTGTCTTGTGTCAAACATGTGTTTTGTTTACCGCTGTCTCTGAGCAGCAGGGTGCCATGGTGAGCACAGAAACTAAGCCCTGATGTTGGCAACTGCCTGCCCTTCTTTAAGTTTAACTTCAAACTGAAGGTACTTGTGTTATATCCTTCTCCGGTACATTGATCTGTAGCTGCGACAATATTTCTGCTAGCCAGGTTTTACTTCTGTATCTGACTCTTTTAATTCTTGAAACATCTTGCACACACACATCCTCTATTACCGAAATGTCCAGTGAAAGAGCTAACAAGGCAATTGTCTCTCTTAACAAGACAACAGTCTGTTTGACAAACGAAGCCCTGGTTTCACTAAACATCTATAGTTGCCTCCAGCTGAAGTGTCTCCCGGCAAACAAATACACAATACTGAATGAAATTCACAGTGTAAACATGACTAGGTTTCTCAGGGAGTTACAAGAAATGCCATCCGTTTAACTTGTTGACCTTGTTTCAGAGCTATCTCAGATATGCTTCATATCTCCAAGCAAAGGGAGGGCATAATCAGCTATAAGTACAGTTATCTAATTATTTGAATTAATTACATGAGTAAACCTCAGAGCAACATTTACAATAAAATACAAATATAATTCAGCATTATCAAAGTTCACCAACTTTGCTTCGATCTTTGGCTGCCGATCAATTAATTTATTGTTTTGACTCTAAATTTGCCTGATGATTATGAAAAATGCCTGTTATACGTCCCCACAGTGACATATCAAAAATATATTAAATTGACAAACATGTATGTGACAAAAAAGCAGCAAATCATCACATTTCAGAAGCTGAAGCCAGAGAATGTTTTGCAGTTTTGCTATGCGAAGACGGCTCAGTGATCGAATCGACTGAGCTCTAAAATATTCATGTTAACATCACATTGATTTCAACACTAGTAAAGACACTGAGCTAATTGGGCTCAAGCAGTAATAAATGAAACAACCTTTTATTTTGTGATTGTTTTACTTTGTCAATGCAAGGGATGGCTCAATAAACATGATAAAAAAATGAGAAGGTTTTTTTGTTTATTAAGAGTACTCACTCAAATCAGCTGGCACACATTCATACTTCACATCTGCAGCTAGAAATAAGTAACTAGAACAAACAGATTATCTTCTGTTCTGTTTCATGTTGTAGTGAAAATAGTACCAGTGCTTCCTCCCCATGAACTATTGGCTGTGACTTTTGTGACACAGTTTGTTTTAACTTTGTCTTGTGATTCAACCCGTGCAGCTTAATACAACTTTCAATTGAGTATACTGGAGTCTTTAAGCCAAGGAGCAAATATCTGCACCATTTAGTTAGTAAAGCATGCAACAGACATATGATATTGCACAATGATGACTCTCCTATCTCACCCAGTCAGCTACACACCCTTCTTTCTTTTCTTGTAACCCCAACTGTGACTTCTTGATCTGGACTGTAAAGAACACCGAGCAGGACTGCTGGCAAAGCTTATTTTATGAAAAGATCAACACAGCACTTAACACACACACACACACATACCATAATGTATGGAGGGAGACTGTGCAGGACCACTGCCAGAGAGCGGTTTATTTTTACACGTCTCTACTGTCTTGGCAGGACTGCAGGACCACGGCAACGACTCGGGAGAATCCTTGTTATGTCAATGTGTTATCAACAGAGACAACTAATAGTCCTCTGAACTCCACACAGTTAGAACGAGCAGTTCAGAGATTAGCGAGATTGTTTGCATTATTGAGTTGTCTAGGGAACATGGTGTTAAGTAGGGCGGCAACTAAACTTAAAATGCTCAACTCCCCAGACTGATGCCTTCAATGCAGAGTGGTTAATGCGTATACAGCATAATTGTGACGGCCACCGTTCGATTCCAGCCAGCAACTTTAAACTGTTTCTATGTTGTGAACTGCCCAATAAACGCAACTTGCAACACCAATGAGACTCTGAAAAAAAAATAAAACTGAACTGTGATGGATTATGTTTCTCAAGCAAGTTTCAAACCTTTAAGTTAGATTTTTATCCCATAAACAAATAAATGGAAACTGGTGGCTTCCTATAGACCTATATGTATTATGAATACAGTAACATTAAATATAGAAAACCTCATTTGTGATACAGGTTGAACGATGAAAAACATTGCAATAGTAAGACTGTAGCAGGCAAAGCACCAACACAAACTACTGAGAGCTGCAAGGGTTTAACATGGGGCTGCGCAATTAATGTCATTTTATTTTCAATTACGATTTTGGCTTCTAAAGATTATGAAAACAAGATTAAACGATTAGTGTGTCGCATTCTGATGCTCTCGTTTTGTCTTGTTATAAATCCAGCGCAACCCTTTCCTTTACAGAAGTGGCTCCAGCCCTTACCTAAATCCCCGAGCACCCTCTCAGCCAGGCTTTGGCATGTTAGCTCAACTCGAGCTGAGATGACCGGGGGTTATAACTGCTGTTACCCGTCCCAATTATTAGCTTAAGCCTATGGCAGTTTACACTTAGTTATGCTTTTCTTAATCACTGTTGGTTTTAAGTCACCGGACCTCCTGGCAAAACACCATGGCTGAATTTCAGCGTTACGTAACGGGTTGTTGTAAACTTGTTCATCTGTCACCTGCTCCATTCCATGTACATTGTTGTCAAAGTTAATAATCTTGGATAACTATTTCTTATTCCACAGGCACATTTGTAATTTTTGGGGCAATGCAATTAGTTTTTTTCCCCTTTAAATGAAACATTCAATTTTAGTTCAATAAATGCATGATGTGATGAAGCTGATGAATAATCGGATTAAACAATTGTGATCTCAGACCAACATAATCAGGGTTCTGTCCTAGTTTGAAGCGTATTCAACAGAAATAGGAAGCACTGAACATTGTTGTGCTAACACACACCCAAACTGAACTCACACAGTCTATGATCTCAACTGCCAAAACATACAGTTATTACACAGTTCATCAGAGACCAGGAGACCAAATATGACCAGTCTTCCACAGGCTGGCGGGGCTTCAGAAGTAGATGTTGTTTAAGTACGTGGCTCTAGGCCATCACAGCAGACGCTTTTTCAACACTGGAGCCAGGGGCTCTGTCCTCCTCTTGCTGCTTTCACTCACTGTCTCACCTACTCCTGTTCAGGGCGGTCAGGGACAGGAACCTTCCCAGTTAACAGTGGGCAAATAAACATTTCAAAGTCTCCAATCCACTAGTTTTTTTACTGAGGAAAACAGAGCAAGCAAACTCAACACAAATCGCCAGGAGCAAACGTGCTCATGAAGTCCAGATAAAGAGTAAGTGGAGGGGTCGCATGGATTTCACTAAAATTACAGCTTGATGTGATAAAATAACAACAATCATGTCATGTGCTGCAACACAGATGTTAAATAGCAATCACATTTCTTTATGCATATTTCACCAACAGATTGTCACTACACACGTAACACACCCCTCAAACCCTGATGTCAGATTTTCTTTGGCGAGAAAGCGACATGTACTGTTTGTACGTCCTGACAGTTAAGTAAATGTTATTAACACAAGTATGTAATCTAGTGGTCGACAATATGGGTTTTTCAATGCCCGATGCCGATATTTAGAGAGCTGGGCAGACGATATATATAATGCCGATATCAAAATAAAGAAAAGTCATGTTTAATTCCATTATTCCATGCAGAGTACAATCAAACCAAATATCAATCAAATATACATGGTTATCTTAACCAGTAATGTGTTGTTTTAGATGGATTCTGTATTAATTAATGAAATAAATAAACACATTGGGTTATGCTGTAGATTGGGGTACAGTTTGTTAAAAGTGACTCTCTCTAGTGATTCTATACACTATAACAATATATATTTAACCCTAGCCAGTAATGGTTTTAGATTAGATTTGCTGTCATGTAGGTTGATTTATCGGCCTTGTGAGTGCAGGTATCAGCCCAATTAATCGGTCTGTCATTAATGTAATTGTTGTTTTTTGTCTCCTCCCAGCCTGTCTGAAATTATGTTGTGGTGTATGTACTGGCTGCACAAATTGGCTGAATTGAGCAGTACTGGTCGACCCTGAAAACTCTAATTTCACAATATATTAAAGTTACCCCCAGTGTTGTGGTGGTGACATTTTGCTGTTTCCCTGTATTATTTAAACTTATTTGGTGGTGTAAATTAATGATATTTAGCACTGTGATTATAACAGACAAGCTAGTTCACGCATTTTATAACTTTAATGTAGCTAATGCAGCATTCAAGATCAAGAAAAAGACAACATTTAAACCATCACGATCAATCCATTGCAATGATAATAGTTTAATATTAACATTATATTATTATGATCATGTCAAAAGCCAGAGTGAATCTAACGTTACCTGCTGCCAACATTAGAGGCTCCTGTTAGTGAGGTTTACTGTCTTTAATGGTGACCCGGTCTGAAGTGATGCACCTCATCACTTTGAGTTAGCCACAGGTACCTTCAGCTATCTTGTCATGTGCACACGACAGGACACAATTCATCCCAGCAGGTGTCTGAGAAGCTACGCAGCTAGCAGGAATTCAAGGTGACATTAGCAAAACACTGACTGAGATGCTGGTTAGCTAGCAAACTGTCGTTAGCTTGCCTCGAACTAACGCCTAACTTGTTTTAGCTCGAGAGCTGCTAACTGGTAACTGTTACCGGAGAGATTTCCGGTTAGCTTAAACCGGGAAGCGGAGGGATAACAAGTGAATGCAGCATGGAGGGGGTAACCAACCTGACATCTGCACACCATATCCGCGTCTTGTGCCAGCAGATCCACAACTTTTCCTTTCCCCTCGTCGCCCCATTGAGCCCCGAGCACCACGGTCACTTTGTTGCCGACAGGCGGTCGTTTCGACGGGTTGTCGCTGCCGTTCGGGGCCCCAGAGGGTTCCTGGCTCCCACTTTCCGACATTTCTGCTGGCTGACTAACACTTGTGCGCCCTTCCTCGCCGCGCTGCTGCTGCTGCACCAAAGATAGCAGGGAGGACTGAAGATCCCTCCACGGCAACGTAGGACTCTAGGAAGTAACACACCTCGCACATGCGTACAAGTGTCTGAAAATACAGTCACCACACACAAGCATGAAAACAGACAACACCTGAAGGAGCCACGAAGCTGCAGCTTTATCCCTCATTCAAGAGTTAATTAGGATGAAATGAAATAACTGTCTCCCAAAATCTCAGAAGACACTCCCACTACTCTGGCGGCCATCAAGAGCCATCAAGAGGAGGTGGTGGAAGAAGTACTTTAGAAATACTCTATTACACGTAAAAGTCATGCATTCAACATAATCAGAAATTACTTTATTGCCAAGTAGTATTTTACTACTTTATAACTCTACTACTACTTCAAAATTTTACTTAAGTAAAAGTACATAAGTATTAGCATAAAACTATATTTAAAGTACCAAAAGTAACATTCAGAATCAGAAATTAATTTATTAAGTAGTATTTTACAGGTACGAGGAACTTGCTATGGTGAGTATGTGCTAGACATAGACATAAACATACAGTTGATACATTTAAAAATATATAAATATTGAATTTACTGATATGCAAGTTATAAAAGAATTATAGGACTACATGTAAAAGAAAAACAAAACAATGTGGCAGTTATTTACACGTGCATTTCTCCAAATTTGTGTTTTGCAAAAATATTACGGGGGGGAGGATTTGTAATTAAACAAATATATAAATTTATAAATCGGTGGGCAGCAAACATTTGATCAAAATACACTTACAGAGGCTCTCAGCTGGACTGTATTACGGGTGTTGTATCTTGAATGATTTGGCTCTCTCTGGTGGTGATGACAAATGCATGCAAGTGTCCTCCTGCTCACATTACGGAGCATTATTCATGCGGCGCTGCAACTTGAGCCAGCTTAACACAGTCACACCTCTTTCCTTAATGATGACTCCTTATAAAACAAAAAGCAACATAAAACAATAGACTCCACTGATTTTCTGAAACATTGTTGAAACAATGAGTGGGAGCACTGGGAGCAGTGGGCACGGGTCACGACTCAGGCTCTTCTTAAAAAGGCCTTTCTATTAACAACAACTTCATGTCATTCCTACAGGTCTTTCACACTGACCTTGTTTTATAGTGTGGTGGAAATGAGTGTATTCGAATAAACAGCTCAGGCAAACACTTGTCTTTCTGTGAATTTTATTCAAGTCTTCTGCAGAAGGAATTCACTGGGACACTCACGCATCAGAGTATCATCCGAGTGAGCTGCAGTGTCTCAGCACATGCAGCTTTTAACCTAATCTCAGGGTCGGAGCACTATCTCATCAAGGGAACATGATGTCTTTAGTGTTCCCTAGGGGACGCTCAACGTAAGACTATCATGTTCAGATACATGTGGTGAACCACTTAAAGTCATGACCCCCCCGGACATATCATAAAGCACCCACATTTACCTTCCATTGACCCCATACCCTAGAGCGAGGAGGCCCCTATTGAGATTAGTTACATGACAGTGTTTGGAGACAGTTCTCATGAAATTCCCATTACATTAGTCAGAGAAATACGGTTCACTATAAGTCCACAGCACCACAGATTGCAGCACCTGCAAGTACCAAGTTTGTTTGTTCACTTGTCGTCTGGTTTTCACAGAATTGCCAAAGGAAATGGGAGTATGGGGATTTCCTGTTTGCTTTTGCATCACTGTTTTATTTGCTCCCTTCATCCCCCATAAATCCTGTTATCATTTCCTCAGTTTGTATATCAGGCAGCTGGCAGCAGGGTATGTCACTGTTCTTATTGTTTGATTCTTAACTGGTGTTATTTGTTGTTGTCTAACAGCTGTGATTCTTTCTTTGCCCTGCATTTCCCAGGCTCATTTTGGCTGCGTGCTGTACTGTGTGTAGTCTGGAGATGTGACTGAACTGGGTCATGATCAGAATGTGATCTTGAATGTTGCTGCTTTTGACGAGTAAACTGAATCAAGATATTTTAATGTATCAGTGCAGGCAAAACTGCTTACATGCCATTTTTTAAAAACAACTTTGGTCAACTTTGAGCAGAAAAATGTCCCCCCCCCCCTCAGTTTTTCACAATCATATATAATGCTTTTAGGTTAAAACTGATGCATTAATATGTATGTTGCATTTTACTGCTGTAGATGTTTAAGGTTGTCTCAAGGAGTAAGAGAAATTCATTAACCCATAAATGAATGCTTAATTCTTCAGTCACACAGCAAAGGGTACAAAACACCACCATAGAAGATAAAATACATGAGCAAAAAATAAAAATGGAAATCACAAATAAGTAAAACGACTTACTATTGGCATAAAACTCAAATAGCAACTTTATATAACTAAAATAAAAACCTTAAGGTAAAACAGGCAGCTCAGATGAAATCAGGATAGGCTTTCCTGTCAGACAAATGTAAATTAAAAAGTACAATATTTGCGTCTGGGAGTGGAGTAGTATTAAGTATAAAGTAAAGTGGAAATACTCAAGCAAAGTATAAGCATCTCAAAATTGTAGTTTACAGAAGTTAGTAAATGTACTGATAAAAGTATTTAAAGGGTTTTTATATGGTTTCTTCCTGAATGGTCTCTTGTTCCACACTCCAGTCCAGTAGGTGGCTGTAATGCATCTTTAAACTTGTTTGCCAACCGCCAATAAACATTGAAGAAGCAGCAGCAGCAGCAGCAGCTGTACTGAGCTACTCCAGCTTCCACCCGTTAAAGTCGTCTTCCAGTTGTCCCCTAGTAAAGCTGCTCTCGGGGGCCATTCACCTTCATATAACAGTTATCTTAAAATGTCTAGTCGGCTGCTCCTCAGGGCTTTCGTAAACGAGCGACTGACAGCTGCTGCCGAGGAAATATTTCAGGTTTTTGAAAGAACAATAGCAACATATGAGGAAGAAGCTTCCAGCTCAAAGCAGGAGAATGAACGTCTCCGAGGTCTGCTGCTGGAGGTCGTGTCAAACCAGAAAACAGGTCTGTGTATTGATTATTTATATCGTCTGTCAGTGTCAGACTGGACAACAATAATTAGCCTAAAGTGGCATAAGTATGTTTATTTTCTGTAACGTTACTTAACGTTTTTACTTTTACAATTGTATTTGTGTTTTTCCTGACTCAACAAGGCTGCTAATTGATAAATTGTGCTAACTCTCTAGTTAACAGTAGAGAGACAGTAATTAAGTACATTTACTCTAGTACTGTACAAATTTGAGGTACTTGTTCTTTAAGTATTTTCTTTTTGTGCCACTTTCTACTTCTACACTGTTACATCTCAGAGGGAGATATTGTGCTTTTTACTTCACTATAGTTATCTGACAGCTTTAGTCACTAGTTACTACAAAAGACACAAAACATTAAGACCTTAATAAAATATGTTTTGTTAAAAGAAAATGTTTGTTGTTGTTTAAGACATTTTTCTTGTAAAAACATTTCAAGGTTCCAGCTTGGCAAATGTGAAGACTTGCTGCGTTTCCTTTTGATTATTTTAATTTATTTCTAATAATTTTGAGCTTTGTACTATTGATTAGACAAAGCAATCATTGTGAAGGTTTCACTTTGGGCTCTGGGCAATTGTTTTAGAATTTAGCAAATGGATTACTGAAGAATATAATCAGCAGATTAATCCATAATGAAAATAATCATTAGTTGCACATAGTTAAAAATGAGCTCCCCTCAACAATTTACAGCAGTAAAATCCTGCTTTTACATTAATGTGTCATAATTTAATGTAAACAGTCTCAGGACGTTTTTGCTTTCTGCAGTGAGTACTTACACTTTTAATACTTGAAGTATATTAAGCCCTTCATCTTTGGGGGGGCCATCTTCTTGATGTACTCCTGGATCTTCGTCATTTCATCCTGGACAGTGGTCTTGACACTCACTAGCCCTCAGCCTCCCTCGCTACGCTTGGTGTACAGTCTCAGGGTGCTGGATTTGGGGTGAAACCCTCCATGCTTTCTCGTCTTGATGTCAGTAGCCTCTATCTCCTCCTTTGGCCAGTTTATTATACCAGCAGGGTATCTGATGACTGGCAGGGCATATGTGTTAATGGCTCGGATCTTGTTTTTCCCCCCATTCAGCTGACTTTTCATGACCTGCCTCACTCTCTGTAGGTATTTGGCTGTGGCGGACTTCCTTGCTGCCTCTTCATGGTTTCCGTTAGCCTACGGCCCTCCAAAGTATTTTTGTAGCTGTCCTGAACATCTGCAATGTGGCCTTCTGGTAGTTCAATCCCCTCGGTTCTGATCATCTTCCCTCTTGTTGAAACAATGCGACCACACTTGTCCAGTCCAAACGACATTCCAATGTCGTTGCTGTAGATCCTGGTAGTGTGGATCAGTGAGTCGATGTCTTGCTCATTTCTAGCACACAGCTTGATGTCATCCATGTAGAGGAGGTGACTGATGGTTGTTCCACTTCGGAGCTGAAGGGGTTCAGGCCAATACAGAACAGCAGCTGTGATAGTGCATCGCCTTGGTATTTGCTGCACTTGATGGTGACTTGTGCAGTTGGCTTTGAGTTGGCTTCCAGACTTGTTTTTCATAGCCCCATTGAGTTCTTGATGAAGGCTATTAGTGTCCTGTTGCTCTTGTACATTTCCAAGCATTCCAGTATCCATGTATGTGGCATTGAGTCATAGGCTTTCTTGTAGTCAATCCAGGCGGTGCACAGATTGGTCTGCCTGGTCTTGCTGTCTGCTAGTCTGCTCTATCAACCAGTAGCTGCGACAACAGTACTAATGGTACTTTTTACTTTTGCACTTTTACTTTTAGTGTAGTAATGTTTAGCAAGAGTATCTCAGGATTTGTGTACTTTGTCCAACACTGTTTTTTGAATTGATTGAATATGTTCTAGAAACCGAATACACTGATGAAAAAGAGGAAAGATAAAAACCCATCATAAGTAACCAGAACCAAAGTAATGTGTTTAACACAGAGCCTAAGAACTCAACCTATTTAATTTTTTTAAACTACTAAGTACTAATAAACTAACCAGAACAGCACAGTTGTGTTTGTACTACCCAATGATATTATAAGAACATTTATTATTAACTTGATGGACGACATCACATTCAGACATTATATAGACATTTGATTAATGGAGAAAATAATCAGCTGATTAATGATAATATTCATTAGTTGCAGGCCTAATTGAGATATTGTTAATACTGCCAACTTCTAGCTGGCAGCATCCACAACAGATAAAACGCAGAAATAAGAATATGATAATGCTGAAGTTTTAAAATCTTTATTCTCTTTTTTTCCAGACTTTTCTCAGTCATCCACCTGTAAAGAGGAAAGTCCCCCCGAGCAGCAGCACTGCGAGCTGGAGCCCAGCCTCAGCGTCTGTCACAGGGACCTAGAGCCTCGACACATTAAAGAGGAACATCACGAACTCTGGGCCGACCAGCAGCAGCAGCAGCAGGTTCAAGAGTTTAAGGAGGCTGACGTCTCATATCTACCTCATTCATCTGTCTGGAAGGAAAATGAGCAGGGGGAGACGAAACCGCCTTTGCCACCTCAAAATGGTGAAAGTGAGGAGCAGTGTCAGGCGCTGCAGGAAACGAAAGCTCTGCGGTTCATACTACCTTTCACCGCAACTCCGTCTTCACAAACTCTGATCCAGAATGAAAGGGTCCAAGATGGTAGGGAAAATGAGAGACCTGCTGCAAGATTTACATCTAACCGAACACAGACAGACCAAAGTCAGAGTTCCTTCATTGCTTCCAGAAAATCTCACTTGAATTCAGGTGTATCTGACAATTGTTGCCATTTGTGCGATAAATCCTTTTCCTCCAATCATCACTTGATAAATCATGCTTTTCGCATGCATTCAAAGGACGCAGATGTCCTCTGTGCTGTGTGTGGACAGACCTTAGAGTCCACCGAAAGTCTCAATGTGCACCTTCAATCACACAAGGGCTCAAAATGTTGTCACGTGTGTGGTAAACACTGCAACAGTGTGTCCGCTCTGAATGAACACATGAGCAGCCACACCGGCGTTAAACTGCATCGCTGTAATGTTTGTGGCAAAGAGTGCAGCCGGAAAGGAGATTTAAAGATCCATATGAGGATTCACACGGGCGAGAAGCCTTTCTGCTGCTCTTATTGTTGTAAATGTTTCACCCACAGTGGACATCTAAGGAAGCACATGAGAAGCCACACAGGCGAGAGGCCGCACCGGTGTGAAGTCTGCGGCAGAGGGTTTCTACAGAGTGCACACCTAAAATACCACTTAGGGACTCATGCTCAGAAATGTTGACTTTCATCCATCTAGGTGCATATTATACAACCCTGCTTCCAAAAAAGTTACGCTGTGTGAAATGTAAATTGAAACAAAATGTGATGTGCAAAACATTGAAACTCCATGTTTAACTGAAAATAGCCAACTTCATCAAATGTTGAGACTGAAAAAAATTGTTTGAGAATTATACGCCCATTTAGAATTTGATGCCAGCAACACACTTCAAAGCAGTTCAGTCAGTGGCAACAAAAGACTGGAAAAGTTGTGAAATGCTAAAAGCAAAACACCTGGTGGAACATCTTGCAATTCATTAGGTCAACTGGTTAGTAAGTTAGTAACGTGATTGGGATGCTCTTTTTATACCCAGTCTTAAGTAAAGATGTGGAGGGGTTCACCACTCTGAAAGACTCCGCTGGTAAATTTAAGAAAAATGTTTCTTAACATAAAATTGTAAAGAATCTGGAGATTTCATTATCTGCAGTCAATAATATCATTAAAAGATAAAAAAAAAAATCAGAATAAATCTCTGTACGCAAGGAACAAACCAATATTGGATGGCCGTGATCTTCGGGCCCTCAGACTGCATCAAAAACAGACACAATTCTGTAGTGGGCATTACTGCATGAGCTGAAGAACACTTCCAAAGATCAGAGGAAACCTTAAATAAACCAGATCCAGAAAAGCCGTACGTCGTCTGCGGGCCCAAGCTCATTTAAGACGTCCTCCGGGCAAAAGAGTACCGGGACCATCCGGCTTATATGTGCACAGTGTAAACGCTAGCGTCTGTGGTCATATGGGTGTGCATTAGTGCACATGGTATGGGTAACCTCGTTTGTGAAGGCAACATTTTGGAGTAACATGCTGCCAAGTAGACAACTTCAGGGTCTTTTTTCAAGGATGGCCATGCTTATTTCAGTAAGACAATGCCAAAATACATTCTGCACTTATTACAACAGCCTGGCTCCGTAGTAAGAGTCAGGTGGTTAGACCTACAGGCCTGCAGTCTCGACTTATCACCCATTGAAAATGTTTGGCACATTCAAGCGGGAAGCTTCCGGTCGTGACTCCAGTCTTCAATACAACATGATACACATTTAGTAAATTATGGTCCCATTTAGAGGAAATTACACCATAAAGCAGAGTCTACTTCAGGGCGAGATTATCTATGGTTGACAAGTCGTTACCATGGCGACCTGTCAATCAGGCTAGAGTGACTCATGCCCACGGCCGTTGAAAGAGTATTAGGAGTTGGCTGTTTACTTTCTCTGGTGAGTACACTTAGTTTTAAGACATTGTCAGCCCTGTTGACAGTTAACGTGAATTACAGATGCAGCTAGCTAGCTTCACACACGGCCGTTAGCTCCACCGTCTCGTCCAAATATGGTCACGTCCGGTGCCGCTGGGTGCAAAAACTCAACATCAAATTTCTCAGTTTAACATAAGTTGTCTTTGTGCTATTTTCAATTTAATGGGGGGTTTCAATGTTTTGCACATCACATTTTGTTTCTATTTAAATTTTACACAGCGTGCCTACTTTTTTTGGAAATGGGGTTATATATTTATCAAACTTCTAAGAACAACACTTAAAAATTAGCCAACTTTGAAAGTGTAAACCAGTGGTACCACTTAGCAGCTCTCAAGTGATAACATAAATAGCCTATCAGAGACATCTGCCATTTTGTTTATTCTTTTAAAGAAAAAAAAACTTACTTTACATCTTACTAAGGGATGTTTTCATTCAATTTATTTGTGTAAAATCCTAAAAATCTCTATTAAAATGGCTGAAAATGGAAACAAATTCTGCAGCTGGTTTTCATCAGAAAAAGCACTAGAATTATTCATAAGTTGGCAAGTAGTTTTTACTTTTTTTTTTTTTTACTTATATACAAAATTTCACTTTTTTGCAGTCTGATAAATGCAGATCTTGAGATGGATGTACTTTTTTCTATAGAAGGGTCAGTATTTTGAGAAATATGATTTTGAATGATGTTAAACCTGTGTGCTTTACTGGTTTAGCTCAGTCTTGCTGTATACAGTAATTTTAAGTAATTAATTAACCAAGAACAACCTGCCATCGACTTTAGAGTTAGTTAAATGAAAGGCCCTGGAAAACATCATGGATAACCAGTGGAAAGACGACTGAAGGATCCTTCCTTCTCTCGTCAACCCAGTCAACTCTCAAGCTCGCCAGAGACGATGCTTCAGCCCAAGGCAGTATTTTTCACAACGGCTTAATTTCATCCGGCATGTAGATCCAGTAGATTCATACAAACTCAACTGAGCTCTAAGGCCCTATGGAAAATGTATTAGTGCGTGAATAGACAGATGTAGGGTTACATGGCTAAGAGCAGCCTTCACTAACAGCTATCCAAGAGTTATTGGAAGCTACTTTGTCGAAGCAGGCTGGCGGTTACACAAGGCTTTTACGCACGGGCATGGGTAACCTATAGTGAATGCTACGAGAAGAAGAGTCAGACAACAGTATTAGAGTGAAATGATGAAGAGTGAGCAGGAGAGACGAGCTATATAACAGGAGCAAGCATATCCAACCAAAGGATAGAGAGCTGAGCTGGTGGGGACAGATGAGAATAGAAGAGATTGAACACTGGATCCAGCAACTGGGAGAGAACTCAAGGGTGAAGGGCTCTTCTCCAGTGGTCAAAGCACGTGTCCAATTTTACTTCATGGCAATCATTCAGGTAATACAACATGACGACAAAAGTGTTTGTTGCAGTTACGTTTGCAGCAGACTATGATGAATAAACATCCTGTATGCGTTCATCCACATAATTTTACACATTGAGATAACCGAGGAAACTCATAAACAATGCTAAGAGTGAATGAATGATTTTGAAGTTTTAACAACCTTGGGTACATGCAGTATAACAGATGGTTCATATCTTGTATTGGGGGGTGGGTAGTTGTGTGCGTCTTTACACTTGGATTAAGATGTAGGCCCATTGAAGTTGCTGCTGATTGTATACCTGTGCATTCAACATAGACGTTGCGTTTAAGATGTTGGTGTTCATCTCTTCTTAATCATTGAAAGTCTCCTTCAAAAATGTTCCAAGGTACTGTGGGGTTTGTGCAAAATTAAAATGCTTTTATTTTACATGGCAATATTAAATTGTAATAGTATTTGATTTCTGTGTTTATTTGCACACCCACCCCGGCATAATATCACAGGGATTTTGAACAGTCAGTTAGCTTAAATCTCCAGCTGCTGAGTAGGAATTGAAGCTAGCTAAGCTAAAGGCTCACTTTCAAATTAAGATATTTTTGTTATAATCTGAACGTTGAATGAATGTGAATATGGTTTGATGGCATTACAGGGGTTCCAGTTGTTTTGATGGGGTATAAAAATATGTACTGCTTACTTTGCAATAAAGCAGAGTATTTGATTCATTTGCGATTAAGTTCCATCATTGAAAACAACCACACAAATATAAAACTAAATAATAAAAATGTGTTGATCTCATTTTAACAGTAGGCCTTATTTGGCAAACACGAATGTTATTTATTCACAAGCTAAAAGGTGTATGGTTTTGTTTTCCAATTGGAAGCAGAAGGACTACATGACAATTAGACAAACTCATAACCTAACATGTTATTACCATATAAAATTTGGTCTTAAGAGTTTTACACACACACTTGACTGATTGTTACCGTAAAATGAATTTTTAAAAATTAGTTTGAGCTTTTATATCCACCAGGTTACTGCATTTTATTTTATTGTTTTCATTGTTTGGCATTAGCTAATCATCCTGTTTAGACATTTGGTTATTTAACAGCCGTTTTCAATTTAAGTTGAGCGTGTAGTACTTCAGTGTGGTCAGAAATATTTGCATTCATCACATGCGTCCCTCGGTGTGACTGACAGTGATGAAATCTACATTTTGGGTTAATTCACATCTGTATTTAGAGCTGTCTGTTTGGGATTGGATCACCCGCAGTGCATTTAAGTGCTGATATAATAAGCCTGCCAGTGGGACAGGAATCACGGTGGTTATGGCAGAAAATTGTGTCCCCTTACATTTAATCTTTTATCTATATTCTATTATCATCATTACTATTATTGTTATGTCTTAGATACAGTGGGGAGATACACTGCTGATTTTCCAGGTTTTCCTACTTACAAAGCATGTAGAGGTCTAATTTTATCATAGGTACACTTCAACTGTGAGACGGAATCTAAAACAAAAATCCAGAAAATCACATTGTATGATTTAACTAATTAATTTGCATTTTATTGCATGATATAAGTATGTTACATCAGAAAAGCAGAACTTAATATTTGGTACAGAAACCTTTGTTTGCAATTACAGAGATCATACGTTTCCTGTAGTTCTTGATCAGGTTTGCACACACTGCAGCAGGGATTTTGGCCCACTCCTCCATACAGACCTTCTCCAGATCCTTCAGGTTTCGGGGCTGTTGCTGGGCAATACGGACTTTCAGCTCCCTCCAAAGATTTTCTATTGGGTTCAGGTCTGGAGACTGGCTAGGCCACTCCAGGACCTTGATATGCTTCTTACGGAGCCACTCCTTAGTTGCCCTGGCTGTGTGTTTCGGGTCGTTGTCATGCTGGAAGACCCAGCCACGACCCATCTTCAATGCTCATACTGAGGGAAGGAGGTTGTTGGCCAAGATCTCACAATACATGGCCCCATCCATCCTCCCCTCAATACGGCGCAGTCGTCCTGTCCCCTTTGCAGAAAAGCATCCCCAAAGAATGATGTTTCCACCTCCATGCTTCACGTTTGGGATGGTGCTCTTGCGGTTGTACTCATCCTTTTTCTTCCTCCAAACACGACGAGTGGAGTTTACACCATAAAGCTCTATTTTTGTCTCAGACCACATGACCTTATCCCAGTCCTCCTCTGGATCATCCAGATGGTCATTGGCAAACTTCATGCGCTGGCTTGAGCAGGGGAACCTTACATGCCCTGCAGGATTTTAATCCATGGCAGCGTAGTGTGTTACTAATGGTTTTCTTTGAGACTGTGGTCCCAGCTCTCTTCAGGTCATTGACCAGGTCCTGCCGTGTAGTTCTGGGCTGATCCCTCACCTTCCTCATGATCACTGATGCCCCATGAGGTGAGATCTTGCATGTGTTTAGGGTTTTCAACATATGGTCAGGTTTGGTTATTAGCTGAATATCAAAGATATTCTAGAAATAATAAAATTATTAATATTCAAAATTATTAATAAATACGGGGCACCACCCCGGAATCAGGGACCAATAACCAAATCTAATCTGTCTAAAAGAGGGTTTGTCCACCTATAGATGGCAAACAGAAGGGTGAATCCGTACACTGGCCGTGGCAACCAACTGTTACTACACCATTATACACATAATCACAGGCAACGACTTATTAAAATTATAATAGGATTTATTCAACTCAAGCATAGATCAATAACTTTAGCAAGTAAATCACTATTAACTATTCTAAGCAAAAATGAAATAAAGTAACTTCTAAAAAAAAAAAAAAAAATCCAGCAAGCGTGTGTGTGAGAGACAAAGGAGGGGGAGAGACTAAGAGAGGGGGGTGGATCCGACCACGTGGGTGGTGCCAGATCCAGCTGTGCTTGAGGCCAGCGGATTTTGGAATCAAGATGGCGTTTCAAACCATGTGATTTCAAGATGGCTGAAAAGTCACTCCCCTGAACTAAAAAAAAAATTTTAATTGAATAAAAATTTTTATTTTTTGAGAGTGTATGTGTGATATATATATATATATATATATATCACACATATATCACACATACACACACACACACACACACACTCTCTCTCTCTCTCTGATGCTAGCCTACTGTGGGTCACAGGTCTGGTTAGGTTCAGAGATCACGTGGTGTGTGCATGTGGGGTTTGTAAGCAGAAGGAGAGAAAGGCACAGAGCAAAGCT